CCTTGGGGCCTGGGGCTTCTTTTTGAGGTTCTGGGTCTGTCTGACCCAGCTGCAGTTTGTTAGGTAATTATCAGATTTCAAATTGCCAGGCTTTTCATATGCAAAAACCTCTGCACACAGCTTGGGTGGGGCGGGGTCTCAGGGAATCAACAGGGTGGAGCAAACAGCTATGGCTGATCCTCAGTTCTGCCCTAAGAGGTCCTGGGTCTCAGTGTCCTGCGGTAATTGCTACAAGCGCCTCTGAGAGAAAGCTGCCCTCCAGTTCTGCCCATTGCCAGACAGCCCAGTTTCTCCCCATATGAATCTGGGTCCCCAGAGACTCGCCCACAACTGGAGTTTAGAGTGGGAGCCTGTGTCTCTCTCCCAACTGAAAAAGACCACCGCGTCCTCAGTTGCCAGCCCTTCCTGCGTGGGCCTCCGTACCTTTGCACTTTACTTCCAAACCTCCTCTGAGTCTCAGTGTGCTTTTCTCTTTCCTTCTAGTTGTAGAATTTCCACTCAGCCAGCCTTCCTGTGGTTCTGGATGATGTCTGTTTTGTCTTTTAGTTGTATATTTGAAGTGGTAGTGCAAGGCAGCAATTTCAGGTGTTTACCTATGCCACCATCTTGGTTTCCGCCGCCAGCAATTGGCTTTTCTTGTATAGCCAGAGTAACCACAGAATACTTATACAGTCATAACTTTTGTCTAGACTTGGTTGTTCATGAGAAGGCAGAAGTTCTCTTAGCAAGCTGCATGTTAATCTGGATCCCAAATGCAGAATTGTGTGCTCAGTTTATTTATATTTTTAAACAGTCAGCTACATTTAAAAATATTTTTGAGTAATTTAAATTTTGGCTTGTTTTTGAACACTTGGGTTTGTGTTGAAGTTAAATAGTAGAAAAGGAATATTAGGATGGCTTTAGCCATCTTGGTAAAATAGGAAGCAAAGTTTGTGTTGAAGTTCCCTGTGTCCAAGATTGTTTTCCTAATGTTCCAAAACATTATGTGAGTGCAATTTATGTGCTAAGGCAGGTAGGCAGAGGTAAACTATAAGTCAGAGGATATAGTACATCTACACAGGCTCTGAGTTGAGAAAATTTAAAGAACCCTTAAGTTAAAACAAATAAACACACCATAAATGTGAAAATAATCCCCTAACCCTGGTCGGCAAACTGTGGCTCGCGAGCCACATGTGGCTCTTTGGCCCCTTGAGTGTGGCTCTTCCTAAGCCTTAGGGGTACCATAATTAAGTTAATAACAATGTACCTATCTATATAGTTTAAGTTTAAAAAATGTGGCTCTCAAAAGAAATTTCAGTCATTGCACTCTTGATATTTGGCTCTGTTGACTAATGAGTTTGCCGACCACTGCTAAGGAAACAGTGGATTTGTTGTGCTTGATGTTGTGGTTTCCAGGGACTGAGAGTGTTGTTTGGATAGTGACTCAGCTAGTTAGTCTTTCTGTGGTGACATAGGTGCCAAGGTGGGTCCTTTTGCAAGAGTGGTTTCCTAGTAGCAATGCCCCATTTGTCTTTAGCATTGAAGTGGCGATCCTAATGCTTACGGTAGGATATCATTTTCTTTGTGCCATCACATTTGCTCTTGCATGTCTTTGCTGGTTGGGGGCTGTGTTTATTGGTAAAGAGTCAGCTGCTTGTCATCGGTAACTAGCTGGTTTCAGTTTCATCACAGGAAGGTGAGAGCCAGGAACAGCATTTAGAAATCAATCAAAGGCTAATGGGAGTCTGACCAGGATCATTGATGGAAGGGTGAACTGGGTTGGGGGAGTTTTGGAAATAGGGGCAATTTCAAAAGTTGGGGGAGCATCATATTTTGAAACAATGAGACAAAAACCATCTCAGCAAGGAGATGTGAAGTACAAGGAACATATGGAGGAAAACTGAATGAGACAGACTTTTTAAAAATTCTTGTACATAAGAGAATGTGTATGGTATGTGTTGGCTCCTTTAACTTACCGAGGTGCCTATGCCAACAGCTGTAAGCCTTGCTTAAAAATCTCCCACAAGGTTATGAAGCCTCTGAGGCTCACCTTCCTTCAGGTCACTTCCAATCTTCCCACACATAGACTTACCTCAGTACCTCAGTCCCTGGACCTGCTTGGCAGTCTCAACTTGCCTAGACCCAGTGGGATTTGGCTTTGGTCTATAGTGGTTATGACCTGGCAATCCCATGTGATGCTGCTTATGATAACTGTCTCTCTGCATCATGGATCTCATTCATAAGCTGGAAGTTTTCTGTATCTGTTCTGCCCATCACACAACACACAGATGTCCAGTATTTATTGCTCCATCAGACTTGTTGAGAAAGATTTCTTCCTCTGAAACAACAACAACTCTTTAAGGACAAAATAAAACAACATTTAACCAACCCATCAATAAATCACCCACTCAAATCCCCAAAGATCCTTACATATAGAGAGTGGCTGAAGGCCTCCCAAGGAAGGTTGCCTGCATTACCAAAGCAGATACCAAGGGTAGGCGTTTCCCAGGCTATAGCCACTGATTCCAACTTCAGCTACAGGTAAAAAGTGCAGCCGAGCCAGCAGGCTGCTTCAAAATGCTCACCTGGCCTCTGAGCCCTGCTAGTGCCTACTTGTTAAGTGACCTGATTATGTCTCTAAGTTTACAGAACTGACAGAAGGAAAGTGTCTGAAAGTTGCCCTGCTAAGTACTAGTATTTGCCTTGGGTTCAGGATTTACCACGGTGTGTGTGTGTTTTAATATAGAAGAATGAGGCAAGAATGAGGTTTTCACTGACAGATAATCAGTGGTCTTGCCAAATCCAGTGGTGTTTGTTTAATTGTCTCTAAATTCCTCCATAGGAATCGGTGCCACCATCTTATACATCACTCCTACCTTTCATCTCTTGCTTAGTGGTGGTGGCATTTCTTAAACCTGGCTTTAAAGACTGTTATTTGCTTTCTGTACTTTCTTTCTTCACTGGATAATAGGTTTATTTTATAATTCCAATTCTCATCTCTGTGTAGGTAACACTTGCCTCCACTTATCCAGCTCCAGATTGTCACCTGAGTTTTGATACTTATTTGTAGCTGCCAACTTAGATGCCTTCATCATGATGAAGTCATTTAGAAATCATGATGTCCCAGGTCTAACTTAATCTTCCTTCAAAATTTCTCCAATTTACTCCCAGTTTTATATTTCTAATACTGGAGTAGTGTCTTCATCTTTTAGTCCTATTCACTACCTTGTCCTATTGCATTTTATTTTAAATGGTTCTTTACTTTGTTTCCTTTTCTTTTCATGTTCACTGACACCCTCTAAGTCTTATGTTCTAAAATCATTAGCCTCTTGTCTTTATACTGTTGGATATATCCTCTCTAAATGCCATTATTACTATGAAACTCTTGTTTTCCATATCCTACAAGGCAAAGCAAAATCTCCTAGCTTGGTCCGCTCCTGACCCCATCTCCTGCCACATCCACTTTGCTTTTATTTAGTTAGCAGGCAGCCTCAGGGAATCCAGTTGCCTACTGCCTCTTGAGTCATCTTGAGATTACCACAGTAGCAACAACAAGAATCTTGGTAATTTTGATTTTCACACTTGGGTACCTCTTCTGGATCTAGGAACTTCCTTCTCGGCAGCACTGAACCTGTACTCACTCCATATGTCATTTAAACCCCAGGTGGGATGTCAGTCAGTATATGAGAAGGGGAAAGATTTGGCGATAGAGAGGGCATTTTTCCTAAGTAGAGTTTAAGAGGAAGGTTTAGAAGTACATATCCTCATTGTAAAAAACGAACTAATCTTGAGATTTAGGTAAGATTTGTACATCTTTGGATGCATTTTATTCTAGTAGAACTTTTCTGACAAGGATCTTGTGCGTAATAAAATAAGAGAAGACCAAATATATTTGCAAATATAAATTCATGCATAAAATATTGCTGGGAGTTGTATGTTTTCCACTGAAGAGTGGGATTAAAAATTATTAGCTGACTATGGAGATCTGGGAGTAGCATGTGAAAGAGAATTCTAGGGAGCCACTTGCAAATGAGAGGAATGTGGTATCACTTTTTACTTTTCCCATGGCCATCACATAATGTGTGACGAGTAAGGGTTGACTTCCACACAGAGATGGAGCATTTCCCAAAGCCCATTAGGGAGATTAATCTTGCATGAATGTAAGACATGCTAGTGTTCTTTCTTCCTTTATTCTGTTATTAGAAAAGGGCTTGCCCTAGCCGGTTTGGCTCAGTGGGTAGAGCGCCGGCCAGTGAACTGAAGGGTCCCGGGTTCAATTCTGGTCAGGGGCATATGCCTGGGTTGTGGGTTCAGTCCCCAGTGGGGCACTTGTAGGAGGTAGCAGATCCACGATTCTCTCTCATCATGGATGTTTCTATCTCTCTTTCTTCCTTCCTCTCTGAAATCAATAAAAAGTATATATATTTTAAAAAAAGAAAAGGGCTTATGATTTCTCTCTTCAGAAACCTATGATTGCTTTCCATGAACAACAACTCACTAGGTCAGATTTGGCCTGGTGTTCTGGAAGGCTCTAGCTGTGGCAGTGGTAGAAAAATCCACCACCCAAGGGCATGTAAGGCCACACCAGATTTGACATGTAGAAGTCAGGAACAATCAAGGGCATGTAGATACTGGGACAAAGAGCTGATTTGGAAACATAATTTATATGTGAGTGTTCCTAGCCTGGCACGCGGGCAAACTTCATTCTTTTATCTTTGAAATATACTAGTGCCAGGCTCTGTAGCTGGTTTCCTTCCAGATGAAAGAAAACTGGGAGAACTTGGTCTGGTGACTTACTCATGGCCAAAGAGGTCAACAGGGTACTTTTAGTGACAGTGGGGAATAACAAGAAGCAAGTGTCTCATACATTGGGCATCTTGCTTCCTAGCATGGGATCAGCAGCAACCATTGATTGAAACTTAGTCCCTTTCCAATTAAATACTGGCAATTTTACCTTGCTCACAGGGACAATTACTTTTCCCTACTATATTCTTTAGAGCAGGGGTCCTCAAACTTTTTAAACAGGGGGCCAGTTCACTGTCCCTCAGACTGTTGGAGGGCCAGACTATAGTTTAAAAAAAATTATGAACAAATTCCTATGCACACTGCACATATCTTATTTTGAAGTAAAAAAACAAAACAGGAACAAATACAATATTTGTATTTGCATGTGGCCCGCGGGCCATAGTTCGAGGACCCCTGCTTTAGAGTGTTCAAACAGATGTAAAACTGCAGTTAGCAATCTGTGAATCATGTATCTCTTGACCCAACTGATCTTTGCTAATGTTCAAAGGCTGTAGAAGTATTTTCATTTTTACTTCTCTGATGAGCTAGAAGCAATGGTGACTCTACAGCTAAACTGAAACAAACTGCCTTCATCCCAATTGTCATTTTATAGAAAATGCTTATTTATCTTTCCCATATTATTATAGTATGTAGCTGAATTATAGGCAAGATGGGGGCTATAGAATGCATACTTATTGACTGAGGAAGAAGTAAGCAGATGTTTTTCTGTCATATTTTTATCCTTATGGTGAAGCTTGTGGAAGCTATGTTATCAAAATTGTTGCTTTGGAACTTATCCCAAGTGTCTGATATGAATCTGGGGTTGACACAGACACAGTATGAAGCAAAGAGGAGAGTCATCTCATGTTATATTGTCACTCCCCTCAATCTCTCCTTCTTATTCCCATCAACAGAGGGATTTTTGAATCCAATAATAGGGAATCTTGGATTCTTGGTCTAACTATACCCAATATATTTTCCATAGAGCAGGTTCACATCCCTGGACAGCTGTGTCAAATGAATTTCTTTGTGTTGTCAAGAATGGAAATGACTGACAAATCTCAGAGGAAAGGCAGGAGTGAGGAGGGGGGAAGATTAACCAGGAATTTATATACATACTAGAGGCCTGGTGCACAAAAATTCATGCAATGGGGGGGGGCATGTCTCTCAGCCTAGCCTGCACCCTCTCCAATCTGAGACCCCTCAGGGGATGTCCAACTGCCTGTTTAGGCCCGACTGTGGGATCGGGCCTAAACCAGCAGTCAAACATCCCTCTCACAATCTGGGACTGCTGGCTCCTAACCACTCCCCTGCCAGCCTGATCAATGCCTAACTGCTCCCCTGCCTGCCTGATTGCCCCCAACTGCCCTTCCCTTCCAGCCCAGTCACCCCACAACTGCCCTCCTCTGCTGGCCCGGTCACCCCTAACTGCCCTCCCCTGCAGACATGGTTGCCCCTAACTGCCCTCCCCTTCTGGCCATCTTGTGGTGGCCATCTTGTTATGACATGGGAGCAGCCATCTTGTGACCATGGAGGGGCAGCTATCTTGGGGCAACATGCGGTGGCCATCTTGTGATCACCTGGGGGCGGCCATCTGGGGGTGTGGTAGTAAATTTGCATATTACCTCTTTACTATATAGGATATGCATAGCCCATGGACACAGACAATAGTGGGGTGAAAACCTGGGAGGAGTAGGTGTGTGGTGGAGAGGGTCAATGGAAAAAAAGGGGGACATCTGTAATATTTTCAGCAATAAAGATAAATTAAAAAGAGCAAAGAATGGGAATGATACAGAAAAGACCATAGCTTGAACTGGAGAGCTTACTAGAACTGGGCCAATCCCAGAATATCAAGTCTTTAAGTCCCAGCTTTGGCTCTGCTGCTTTGCTAAGGTTAAGAAAATATATCAAGATGAAAAAAGGACTGTTACCTCAGAAAGAATTGAAATGTACTTAGCTTGCCTCTTGCTATTGCATTCCTCATTGGGCCATTTCCTCAAGGTGAGATGAGAGATGCTGGTTGGTGAAGAGTTTGTAGAGGTGAAAGGAGTAGGGCTGACCTGGGAGCTGTCTTCAAGAGGAATGAATACAACCTATTAGCTTTCCCAATTTATCGTTTTTCTGTAGACACCTCAACTATGAACAATAGTTTCAGTGAGGAAGACAGAATGAGTTCTGACAGGAAGGTTGGGAGCTGTGACAGGCAGCAGAAAAATGAAGCCAAACAGCATGGTGATGTGTCATCACTACTGGGTTTACCTTGATCCACATTTAGTTATCTATTTCTTTTCAAAATGCTAGGTACTTATTCATTTATGAAACAGCATGTATGTTCTGAGGTGCAGTATATGAAAGTCTCATTACTTTCTTTTCACATCATGAATTCATTACTGCATCCATTCCATTCAAGATTCATTTATTGAGAGCTTACTAAGTGCTAGGCACTATAAAATTTCCTAGGAATTTTATAGTAGTGAACAATTTGATTTGATTTAAAAATTTGTTTTGGTTTTTCACTAATGTTAAAGTCTTCAAACCAGGAATCCACGAATAAATAAAAAGAGGTGGAGATATTTGTGATAAATTTTATTGCTTTTTAGATCTGCATTTCAAAAGACCTATAAAGGCATTGCCTTATTCACTAAAATGTTTCTGCTTATTGCAAGCCAATTATAAATAAAATAGGATACTGACTGACTCTGTAGATGCCCTAATTGCTGCTCAGAAGTAAATGAAATAGATTTCTGAGGCCTTATCCTATCTAATAAAAGAGAAACATGGTAATTAGCCGTATGTCCGCTACCCTTCCCATTGGCTAATCAGCGAGATATGCAAATTAACTGCCAGCCAAGATGGCGGCCGGCAGCCAGGCTACTGACACGAACAGGAGGGTTGCTTGCTTCAGTGACAGAGGACTCCAACATTCCCCACCTGCCACTGCCAGCCTCTGAGCTTGCAGTTTGAAACATTGTTACAAATATAGAAGCT